CCGCCTCTCCGGGCCCGCTCCGCCGCCCGCTGCCCGCCAGGACAAAGCCGCAATCGCCGCTGCCGCGCGGCGCTGTCGCAAGGGACGAAGGAAGCGCCGCCGGAAGAGAAGGGCGCGGCCCGGCGCTTTACGGCGCGCTCACGTGCGGCAGCCGCGCGCTCCCGGCACTCCCGCGGCCGCGCGGCGCCAGGGGAGCTGCAGTCCTGCCGCGAGGCACCATGGGAACAAAAGTCCCGCCGCGAGGCACCGTGGGAGCAGTAGTCCCGCCGCGAGGCACCGTGGGAGCAGTAGTCCCGCCGCGAGGCACCATGGGAGCGGTAGTCCCGCCGCGAGGCACCATGGGAGCAGTAGTCCCGCCGCGAGGCACCATGGGAGCAGTAGTCCCGCCGCGAGGCACCATGGGAGCGGTAGTCCCGCCGCGCGGCGCTGTCCCGAGCGCCGGGGTCCCGGCACGGGGGCGAGCGGCGGCCCCGCGGCAGGGAGGCCCCGCACCCTCGTCGYGGCGGCCGTGGGGCGGCCCTSTCCCCGTGTCCCTGTCCCCGTGACCCCTGTGTCCTCGTGCTGCAGCCCGGTCCCAGAGCCTCCGTGCCCCCCGGGGCCGCCCGGGACTTCCCGGCCGCTCCGGGCGGTGCCGGGAATCCCCCCAGCCCCGGGCTCCCCCGGCCGCGGCTGCGGGACGGGTCCCGCGGGGGAGGGGCGGCCGGGGGCGCTGGAGGGGGTCCCGCGGCGGGGGAAGCGGCCGGGGGCACCGGTGGCACCGGCGGCACCGCGAGCAGCGAGAGCAGCCGGACGGGGCCAGCGCCGGCCYGCGCTGCCGACGGGGGAGCGGGACGGGCGGCCCCGCCCGCGGGACGGCCCGGGAGCAGTTCCCAGAACGGCCCCGTGTCCTGAGCGCAGGAAAAGGGAAGTGYGGGAATCCCGCAGGGCCGGCAACACCGCCGTTTCCCGCTCGGGGTCACGCGGCCCCGGGGACTCCGCACGGGGAGGGCCGCGGAGCGGGCTCCCGGCTGTGGCATGAGCTGCCCGGGAAGCCAAAGGGAAACCCGGAGCCTCTGCTTCCCGGGAAAGGGAAACCTGGAGCCTCTGCTTCCCGGCTTAGTGAGCAGAGGCACCGGCCCTTCCAGCCTGGGCAGATCCCAACAGGCCAGGACTCGAGATCCCAGGAGCATCCCCAGGGACTGGGGCTTGAGAATCCCTGTACCATCCCCAAGGGCCAGGGTTAGAGATCCCTGGAGCATCCCAAGGGACGAGGGCTTGTGATCCCCAGGAGCGTYCCAAAGGACCAGAGCTTGTGATTCCCAGGAGTGTCCCAAGGGACTGGGGCTCATGAATCCTACGAACATCCCAAGGGACCAGGGCTCATGATCCCCAGGAGCATCCCAAGGGTCCAGGGCTCAAGACTCCTGGTACCATCCCCAGGGGCCAAAGTTTGAGATTCCAGGAGCATCCCGAGGAACCAGGGCTTGTGATCCCTAGGAGCATCCCGAGTGACAGGGACTCGTGATCCCCAGTAGCATCCCAAAGGTCCAGGGCTCGAGATTCCCAACACCATTGGCAGGGCCTGGGCTCCTGAACCGCGATACCATTCCAAAGGACCAGGACTCGTGAGCCCCGGGACCATCCGTGTGTCCCGCGCTGCCAGGCAGGACCGGCCGGTGCTGCCCGCCCAGCAGCCGTGCCCGGCCTTGGGCACGGGGCCGGCCCGCGGGGAAGTCCCGGGCCGGGAGCGCTGCCGGAGCCCGCCCGGCCGGCGCGGAGGGGCGGCCCTACGCGCCCTTCCTGGGCGGAAACGGCGCGGGCCGTTAATAGCGCGGACTGCCCCGCGCCCCGCGGGACGGGCCGGGTCGCGCTGCGCCATGAAGCTGCTCGGGCCGCTCGGGCTCCTCTGCGCGGTGCTCGGGGCCGTAAGTGCCGCTTCCCGACGGGACCGGTCCCGTCCGACCCCTCCCGCCGCGGCCCGCGGCCCGCGGCCCGGGGCCCGGGACGGGCTGCGCGCGCCGGCCGTGCGGGGGCAATGCCGGGATGTGGGGGCAACACCGGGCTGCGGGGCCGGGCTGGGGGCTCCGAGGGCAATGCCGGGCTGTAGGGCGGGGCTGCAGGACCGCGCTGTGCAGCCGGGCTGGGGGCTGCGGGACTCTGGGGTGGGCTGGGCTGGGCTGTGGGGCTGTGGGGCTGGGCTGGGGCTATGGGGTGGGCTGCGGGACTGTGGGGTGGGCTGCGAGGCTGTGTGGGGACAGGGACCAGCGCACATCGTGACACTCCGGTGCTGCTGTCCGGACCTGGACAGCCCAGGGCTTCCAGGAAGGGAGTGCCCGGGCAGGATACCCTCGGTGCCCCTGTCCCGCTGGTGGCTCTGAGCCGTGGGGATGTGCGTGGGGAAGGATGGGAATGGGACAGAACAGGACAGGGCCAGGGTGGGACGGGAGGCAGYGGCTGGGCAGGCCAAGCCCCCCGGGCGGGCAGGAAGGGCCCCAGGCCAGCGCGGCCGCGCGCTGCTGGCAACGCCGTGAAGGAAACGCTGGCTGGGCGCCCCGCGCTCCCGCCGACACAGCCTTGCTGTTCCTCATTTTTGTGACTGGGAATTTCCCAGCAAGCGCACAGCTCCTGGGGCCGCCATGCGTCCTTGCCGCGCCATGTGCTGGCCCCACGGCATCTCAGCCCCATGGGACCCCAGCCCCAYGGCACGCAGTCCCACTCGCTGACCATTGCCCCGTGAGGCCGAGTTGGCTTGGCGRGCACTGCGCAGTGTCCCATGGGACCCACCAGGCCTGGGGCACCCACCTGCAGGCCCCAGGCCGAGCTCCCGCACCCTGGAGGGGAGTGACATGCGCCCATGGGCTGGGACAGGTCTGGGCCAGAGCCCCTTTCGGTTCCTCTTCTTGCTGCACCAGACGCGTGTGGCTGTTGGGCTCCCTCGGGGCTGGCTCCCCTGTGGGCTGATGCCAATCACGGTGCCCCTGTCTCCTGGCATCCCATAACCCCACAGCCCTGAGCTCCAGGCTCCACTGGAACCTACATCCCTTGGGAATGGTCCCACTGGGCTGTGGCACCCGGCCTGCGCATCCTGCTGCCATGGGACGCGATGCTCTGGGTGCTGTCCTGCACCCGTCGATGCCCAGCACTGATGCCGAGGTCGCGGGCTGCTCCAAGGCGGAGCAGCAGCACAGGAAGGGCTGGCGCTTTGCCCGTGTTCTGCAGCGTAGGCTGATGTGTGGTGGATCACCTGCTGATAGGGAGCGCGGGAGACGCCGCAGCGGAATCATGGCTATGCCACTTCAAAGAGGGCRCGGGCGGCAGCGCGGCGCAGCCGCCCTGGCTGTGGTCTGTGGTCACGGCTCGGGAAGGGGAGCAGGATGGGCGCAAGTGCTGGGAGCATCGCGGGCATCCCGTGTCCTCCCTTGCAGTGCTGGCAGCCCGGCGAGGCCRCGCGGTGCTCCGAGAAGCAGTACGAGCACAGGGACAAGTGCTGCAACCGCTGCCCGCCAGGTACGGAGACCCCGGCCCTTYGCGGCCGCCGAGCGGGAGCGCGGGATTCCAGCTCCCGGCTGCTGCTGCCGCTGCCCTGCGTGGCCTACAGAGCGCCCTGGATCAGCCCCATCTCGTGCTGCATCCCGCAGCATCCTGCAGCATCCCACAGCATTCCGCAGTTCCTCCCACACTGCTGCCGGGTCCCTGCCAGGGGTTCCCCAGACCTTGTGCCAATGGCCTCTCTTGGTGCCCCCGCTACAGCCCTGCCGTGGGCACAGAGTTGTCCCCACCAGTGCTGCACCCCTGCGCCCCTCACCATCATCGTTTGCAGGGATGAAGCTGCTCTCCGAGTGCAACAGCACAGCCGAGTCCCTCTGCGGCGCCTGCGAGAGCCACCACTACCAGCAGAGCTGGACCAGGGAGAGGCACTGCACCCCGCACGACGTCTGCGAGGACAGTGAGTGCCCCGTGTCCCCCATGCTGCAGCATGGGGGGCACCGCCCTGTCCCCCYGCACTCGGCTGTCTGCATCTCCCCTGGCACAGCTGCCAGCATCCTCCCATCCCTCCCGGCCTCGTCCACCCACATCCCTCCCCATATTTACCTGCCTGCATCCCTGCATCCCTCCCAGCCTTGTCCCTCCTGGGCTCATCCACCCACTCGTCGTGCCCGTCCCCGCGGTCTGGCCAGCCTGTGCCCGGCCAGCGTCTCACCTTCCTCCCGCCCAGATGCGGGGCTGGAGGTGAAGAGGGTCGGCGATGCAACACACAACACGCAGTGCCAGTGCCGGGCCGGGATGCACTGCTCCGACGGCAGCTGCCAGAGCTGCGTGGAGAACCCGCCCTGCGGGCGCGGAGCCGGCTTCGTGGCAGGTGAGACGGAGCCCGGGGGCTCCGGGTGCTCCGGCGCCGCCGGCGCAGGACCCCCAGCACCCGTGTTCGTGCCGAGCCACCATCACTGCTCCTGCAGCCAAGGCCGAGGCCCGGACAGCATCCCCCTGTGAGCCCTGTCCCGAGGGCACCTTCTCCAACGTCTCATCCAAAACAGAGCCGTGCCACCCATGGACCAGGTATGGCCCCACTCCAGCCCTGCGTCCGGCCCTCTCCGGTGCTCTGGCTGCGGCCATAGGGTCTTGTCTCGCTGCAGCTGTGAGGAGAAAGGGCTCGTGGTGAAGGCCAAGGGCACCAACAYGTCGGACGTGCTCTGTGGTGAGGGCGCTTCCCAGGCTGGCGCGGGGCACCCCCGGACACGCAGGATCCCAGTTCCCGGGACACAGGGCCGGACACTGCCCCAGTGCCACGCTCATCCCGTTGCTCCACAGAGTCGAGCAGACGCTCCTCGCTCTCCGTGCTCATCCCCATCTCTGCTGCCATCACCACCTGCCTTGTGGGCATCTGCATCTACTGCCTGGTCCACAGAGGTGAGAGCCGGGACGCGGAGAGACCAGGCACAGCGGTGGCCCTGCTGCTCCCTGCCCACCACYCACCCAGTGCCAGGGCTGCTGGCACCAGCAAATGCTGCTGCTGCTAGGCACGTTCGCAGCAGGACGCTCCCCCATTACCTTCTCTCTGCCTCTTCCCCCCAGATCCCAAGCGGCCGGTGCAGGAGCAGGTGAGTTCCGGGAATGATCCCGACAACGGGATGRGGGTCCCTCCTGGGACAGAATGGGACTGGCTTGCCATGGGGTAGTGGAGCAGGGACTGTGAGGGGGTCTGGCATGGGCCTGCTCCTGTCCCTGCCCTGCCCCGTCCCCATCCCTGTTATCTCTGTGGCTGCACAGCAGGATTCTGTGAAGGACGCAGAGGTGGCGGAGAGGCAGCATCCCGTGGAGGACCTGGAGGTGCTGCCAGTGCAGGAAACGCTGCTGGGGGGGCAGCCCGTGGCGCAGGAGGATGGCAAGGAGAGCCGCATGGCGGAGCAGGAGGGGCTCTGAGGGCAGGGGCTGCCCCCGGCTCAGACTGCGGCTGGTTCCATGCTGGTCCATTCCCCAGCAAAGAAGCAGGGCTGGCACCTGGCCTAGCTGCCAGCAGCACAATGCCAGAGCAGCCATGGCATGAGCATCCACTTGGGAATGCCGTGGCACAGCCCGGGGCGGCAGCGCACAGAGAGCCCGTGCGGAGCCCGGTCCATCGGAGCGCTGAAGCASCGTGGCAGAGCAGGATCAGCTCCTGCACAGTGATGCCGCGGCGGATCCCCGTCCCACACCGCAAGGTCACGGAAGATCCCAGTCCTGCACAGTGACACCGCAGCAGATCCCAGTYCAGCCACGTGTGTGTTGGCAGCCTGGTGGAGCAGAGCTCAGCCCTCGGTGCAGGGACCCACGGGAGGGCTCAGCCGGTGGTGCCGGGTGAGCGCTGGAGATGGGCCCGGCCCGGTTGTGCCAGTGCAGCCAGGGCAGCACCAGGTCCGGGCAGGCAGTGCTGCCCCAGCCCAGGCGCCCTGGACACAGAAATATAGCCCTTGCTGTCCCGACAAGGCCGTGTCCTCGCTGGTGCCGCTGCCGCGCGGGACACACCGGGGCTGCTCCGGCTGCCGG